CTGGAATTCGAATATATATATATATATATATATATATATATATATATATATATATATATATATATATATATGTGACAAAATAGAGTTTTTTTCGTGTGACGTATTTCTCGTTTAGGAAAAATCTCAAGTAAACGATTTTATGAACAAAAAGGGTCTTTTTTAAAAAAAAAAAAACAAAAACATTGACACTTAATGCATTTAGTTTCTCATATTCTGGCCATAATTTTGATTTTAAAAAAAGTTACTTGAATGAAAAGAGAAAGCAACTTATTAAGACAAAATAAAATTGCTAGATCATCCACTGTAAATTTACGGCCAGAATTTTACAGAATTTCCCCTTTCTTGGTAGATTTCCTATTATATGAAAAGTGATGAAAACATAAACAAAAATAAACTAAATTAAATCGGTTACACTATATACCTAAACGCATTTAAAAAAATGTATAAATTAAATTGAAAATTTTATCGTTCTCTCTTTTTTTCCTGTGTAATTCCATCAGCATAAAACATCCTTTTAGTTCTCTGAAGTTATGAGGGACAAAACGCGCTACATAAATAACGTTTTTCCACTTTCTCATAGAGTTTTGTGAAATTGTTCTGATAGATAATAATTTATATATCATTTTCCCATATATACAGGGTACGGCTGGTATTTGAGGACACAGATTTAAGATTAATACTGCTTCCCACTAATGGCAAACCCTATGATAACAAATGAAATGAAAAGGCATGCTGTGATTGTGGCATTAAAGACTGATCATAGCGATTTGGATATTGCACGTTTCCTCAGATTTACAAGATCGTTTGTCCACAAGATACGAAAAGAGTTAGAAGACGCTGACAGTTCCCCATTGTCTGTATCAAAACGTAAAAGATATTCTGCATGTTCTAATAAAGTGGGAATATCCGAATTTATTCAGGAAGTCAGGCAGACAATTGATGAAAACCGAGGTCAATCAATGAGGTCAACTGCCAAAAAGCTGCATGTGTCTGAAAAAGGAAGGAGTGTTCATGAACACATTTGATACCAGTCCGAAGTGATGAAGAGAGGTTAATTTATGTCTGAAAAAACAAAAGAAAACCGTTTAAACAGATCCAAAAGGCTTTTAAACAAACTTAAAAATCCTTCAGAAGCTGGTTCGATTTGGTTTTTCGCAGATGAGAAAAATTTTGATCAAGAATAAAAACTTAACAGAAGAAATGACAGATGGCTTTGTTCAGATCCTTCTGAAGTACCAAGAGTGATGCGCGCAAATTTTTCTCCAAGTGTTACGGTATTGGGTGTTGGCAATGAAGGACTTGTTATGGCACCACACTTTTCCCACAAGGTCTTAGAGTAAATGCTGCTGCTTATATTGAGGTTCTAGAAACAGTTGTTAAGCCCTAGATTGACAACATATGCAACGGCAGGACTTACATATTCCAACAAGACTCGGCTCCATCCTACAAGGCTCTACGAACACAAGAATGGATGGCTGACCATTTGTACGACCACATCACACCCAACATTTGGCCACCTAACTCTCCAGATCTCAATCCACTAGACTATCATGTGTGGAGCATTGTTGAGAAGGAGGTTAATAAACAGCCTCATAACACCAAAGACTCTCTTAAAGCTGCAATAGTTCGAGTAATGTCTGACATAAATAAGGACCAATTAATCATTACTTGCAGCCGATTTTGACATCGTGTAGAAGCAATTATTGATGCTAGTAGTGGTTTTATTGAATAAAATTAAATAATGGTAAGATAAATTTTATGCTTCCTTGTTTGTAATCAAATATAATTATATTCATTTGTTCAGCAAGGTTTTTTACTAATCCATAAAATCTGTTCTCAAATACCAGCCGCACCCTGCATATGGTACCGGGAATGGCCTGCAAGTGACTTGCAGGTCTTATGAGCCATTTTAAGACATCATTAATAGCATGGAATTCATCCCTAAAATATTCGTCGTTTGGGACTTATTTCATCTAGGATGGGCTTTATTCGGTCATGAATCGACTTCTACAATGTATGCATATAATCAAGCTTGATTAGTCATATACATCGCCACAACAACAAACATTATCACTATGATGTCCAGCCTGATTTCGCTTGCAATCTATGCAACAAAGTGCGCAGATCAGTGAGTGGATTTATCCGGCATTACAAGTCACAAAATTTGGATCAGTGTTATGCCAGACAGTTTTTCTCGCTAGAGTCCATTTTACACATTTATAAATCTACCATTCGTCAGTGCAATAAATGCTGGTGTCATATCTGTTCTAGTTCTGCTGCACATCTCAAGATTCTTGACAAAATCTGTTGTAACCTAGAAAGGGTTACTGAATGAGGAATAACCAAAACGGAGGTTGGAAATGAAATGGTAATCTTTATAACATCAACAAAATACAATACTCGCCAGCGGCGTGAAGTAGGTAAACCACTGCTAGTGGTGGACTACTTAGACACCATATTACTCTCACTTACAATAGTGTCCAACGTATTTATGAGGATTGGGACATACTCATTACTGTTCATAGGTATATAACAAAATCCAAAGAAAGATCTGTTATGTAATCGCTCCTGACCTGGTATCTCGACGTCAGTCATTTTCTCACCGAAGTACTGTGGCTTCCCTCTTTCTTTTCTATCAATATTTTCATAGCAATTATTTTTATGAGTTTTATCCCTTGGTGCCTCGACTGCGTGAATTTAAGCTTGCTACTAGATTGTCTTTACTGTTTTACTAGATAGATGCAACCGCATGTTCTATCCTTATAGGTTCTTTTCTCGCACTTCTCATTTGTGGAACTCCCTTCCGATTTCATACTTTCCTGTCAGCTACAAACTTCATAAATTTAACTGCATGCCAACAGCCATCTTCTGTCTTCATGAATCATGTTCTTTTGTTATTGAGGCTTTAAGCTTACTGACTTTGTTGGAACTGATCACGCCATTTTATGTGCTAACTAAGGTCCGATCTGTATAGTTGCGGAACTGATCGGGTGTCTGTAAAAGTGATTAGCTAACCACTCTAGTAGACTTCAAAGTCTCCCGAAATTGACGATCGCTTACTACTATATGGGGAAAGAGGTTTATGGAGAGAGAGAGAGAGAGAGAGAGAGAGAGAGAGAGAGAGAGAGAAAGAAAGAGAGAAGGGGTAGAGAGAGAGAGAGCAAGAAATAGAGAAACGAAATTTCCTCAGTAATAAAATGTAGACATTTAAATGAATATTTTTTGAAGGAATTTTTGACATTTGCTCGAAACGAAAAACAAATGTATGACGTTGTCAACTTAGTTCTTATCATCGAAGTAAAAGTCGCAACATTTTGACTGATCACAGTTATAAAGATTATCGCACCATTTTCGTTTTCTAGGTTGGTTGTTTTCCATTTAAAATAGATTCAAAGGAGAAAGGTTGTAGGGAAATGATCGATTGGGGTTTTCTGAGCAACATTCCTACAAATAAAAACGAAGGAAACAAATATCTTAATAAAACTGAAATTAGGTCACATCAAATATTCAAAGTGTCGTCTGCACTTTCCGACAGAATTAGTGTCGTTTTTATTTAGCGGGAATAATTTTTTTTTTAATCCCAGGAGAAATTCCTGGAAGTCAGACGTTACTCATTAAAGAAATTACTGCATCACCCATTACACACACACACACACACACACACACAAACAATATCCACCCTGAGTGCCACGCCGTAAAGAAAAGGCTAGCAAGCGAATTTCACAGCTCATTTTTTTCTTCTTCAGGACATAGCTCTCCACAACTTTCCATGCTTTGTTGTTTTTACTAATGTTTCTACCATCCATTCAGATAGTCAGATAGATAGCTCGCTGCCCCCCCCCTTGTGCATTTTGCCTTCTATATGTCCTGTGAGTATCAAATTCTCCAAGCCTTCCTTCCTTATAATGTGTCCCAGAATTTTCAGCTTTGTTTTTTTGGTTTGTTTCCATTTTCCTTGCGACTTCTTTGTTGCTTATGAGATCTGTCTATCACATTCTCAGTATCCTTCTGTATAACCACTTTTCTGTTACCTTCACTTTTCTCTTTCACCTATGAGCAGATTGTCCAGCATTTACTACCATATCGGAGGATTGATATTATATAACAGTTCTTTTTCTTTGTTTTTTAACGAAATTTTACTGTTTCTTATTAGATTGCTTAGCTTTTGGAAGGTACCTTTTGCTATATCAATGTCCGTTCGGATTTCGTTTTTACTCTTTCCATTCTTTGTGAAAACACTTCCCAGATGTTTAAACTACTGTACTTGCTTGATTTTAACCTCTCCAATTCATAGTCCGCTCCTAGGGTATGACGATAAACTACAGCCGGCAGCAAGGCCTCTGATGGGGAGGTTTTAAGGAGTGTGGAACCACCTTTTGATAGCTGTTGTTACCGGAGTGGTAGCACCTGCTAGGGTCCCAACTATGGGCAAATAGTAAACTTCTAAATTGGTCTCAAAACACTATGGAAGTATAAAAAATTTTATAGCAAAAATATCGGCAATACATTTTCATAGTAAAAAAATTACCAACAATACATTTTTGTAAAAAAACAAACGAAAAAAACAACAAAACAAAAATCATTGCCAGCAATAATTTTTTGTGAAAGCAATTACGAATGCCCCCAAGAAAATATAAATTTCGGGATTAAATGATTCATAAGGAGTTCATATGCTGCTAAACAAACAAACACAAATACACATAGACTAACTGTCAGTCCATTTAGTAGTTAGTCTTTTCTTTCTTTCTTAGAAATTGACCATCTGATTACTCAAGTAAAATGAAATGATCGCCTTTAGTTAGCGGTCTATAAAAGTTACTATTTGATAGAAATATTACACAACTTTTGAGTATCTGGTATAATAGATAGGAGGATGATCTCAAAGATCTCTAGCTGGACGAATTGGAGGTTGCAATTTTCTTTTCCTTTCTTTTTTCCGTTTTGCTTTTATTATTATTTTTTCATTCATTTTTTCTTTCTTTTCTCGGATTTTTTTAAAAATGTTTATTCATTTGTTTATTATCTTTCTTATTTTGTTTTATTATTTCATTAGTCTTTCATCCAGTTTTTCCTTCTCGTTTTCTTTTGTCCTTTCTTTCTTTCATCTATTTTTTTTCTTTTCTTGTTTTCTTCTTCTTGTTATCTTCTTTCAATCATTTTTTCCTTTTCTCGTTTTCTTTTTATTCTCTTCCTCTTTCGTTCATTTTTTTCATTCTTTTCTCGTCTTCTTTTTATGACGCCTTTTTTTTCATTCATTCTTTTTATTCATTTATTCGCCTTTTCTTATTACGTTTAATTTTTTTCCTTTTCTAGTTTTCCTTTTATTATCTTCTTCTTTCTTTCGTTTTTTTTCTTTCTTTTTCCTTCTCTATTACGGCCTTCTTTAATTATTTTATCTTCTTTCTGTTATCGTCTTTTTATTACGCTTTTCTTTCATCCATTTTTTATTTCTTATCTTATTTCTTCTCTTCTTCTTTTATTCATTTTTCTTTCGTTTCCTGTTTTCTTCTTATTGAAATCTTATTTCAGTCATTTTTCCTTTTCTTGTTTTCTTTTCATTCTCTTCCTCTTTCGTTCATTTTTTCATTCTTTTCTCGTCTTCTTTTTATGACATCTTTCTTTAATTCATACTTTTTCTTTTATTTACTCTTTCTTTCCTCGTCCTTTTGTATCAAAATTAAATTGAAAAAGAAAGTCTTTTTCTTTAACGGGTAGGCAGCCCATGTTCGCTGGCATCGAATGCAGATAGGTTGCCACAATCAAATGTTTGCTGACGTAGCGCTAATGAGTTCAGAGTTCTTTGACACAATGCTTTCAAATTGTCTCGCATTCTTCTGATGACCCTCAATACTGCTTCCACTTCATCTAAAGAAATCGTCAACCCCTCACACAGACCGTCAACCCTCGTTCTCCTTTTGTCACTTCCTGTTTCCGCCTCTGTCCTTCAACTTCAGACAATTTCGATGATGTTATCCCCAGCTGCAAATGACTCTGCAAAAACTTCCGCCTCTTACGACGTTGATAATATTTATTAAAGTTATCTTAGTACGTCTCAAAGCTGAATAAGGGGAGGAAGACCGTGTTGCACCAAATCTTCCAAATAAGGAGGTGCTCTCGCTTTTTAAAATATCTAATAAGCTTATTATGACACAAGGTCGAATATGGGAAATGCTTGATTGTAGTAATACATCGTTTCAAGTTCGAACAGCCTGCTATCCTTCAAAATCAGCATTTGAAATCCTAGCCTTTACCTGTACTTGAACGCTGAATAGTAATGCCAATGGGGAATACACAACTAACTCAGCCACCAAGCAGGCCATAGGATACAGTACGAAGCTAAAATAATTAAACGGGAGCTTAATCAGTTTATGAGCGTGTCACCGAGAAGGGATAGTTTTTTTTTTGTTTTCCGACCATGAGACTCAGATTCGATTTATCAAAGAGTAATTCTATATATCTTAGGATATATGTTAAGATAGCGAGAATATTTGGCTATTATCTATGTGATAAGTATAAAAATAGATAGGTACGCCTATCGTCTGGCTCACACTTCTTTGTAGCTCTTAATAAATTTTGTCTTTTTGTCATTTGTCCTAAACCTTGTTCCATCGTCCATTTACTCAAGTTCATTCTTCTTCTTCTTCTACATGCCGTTTCCCTTCAGGACGTTGGCGATCATGGCTCTCCACAATTTCCTGTCCTTTGTAGCACTTGATATATTTTGTCTTTTTGTTATCTCCCCCTAAACCTTGTTCCGCCATCCATTTACTAAAGCTCATTTTTCTTCTTCTACATGTCTTTTCCCTTCAGGACGTTGGCGATCATGGCTCTCCACAATTTCCTGTCCTTTATAGCTCTTAATAAATTTTGCCTTTTTGTCATCTATCCTAAGCCTGTTCCGCCATCCATTTACTCAAACTCACTAAGTATGTTATGCATTGTTTTCCTCTGTCCCTCTTGCCTTCAATCTATCCTGTGAGTAACTGATTTTCCGAGCCCTTTTCCTCATTATGTACCCTAGAAATTTCAACTATCTCTTACTGATGTTAAGTATAAGATTCCTTTTTGGTTCTATTTTCTCTAAAACTTCGTCGTTGCTAACATGTTCGGTCAAAGGTATCCTCAGTATCCTTCAGTAGAACCACATATCTGTTGCTTCAAGTCTCTTTATCTTGTTTGAGGAGATTGTCCAGCATTCATTGCCATATAGGAGGACTGATATCACCTAACAGTTCAGTACTAGACTGATAGCAATAGGCCCAGGGTTTAAAAGTGAAGTTCACGTGAATCAAAGTTCAATTGGTTACCATAAGCAAGTGCGTGCTGTCTGCCTTCACGAGGCATCCTCTATTATTATTGAATATATTTTTCAGTCACGTGAATGCCCTTTAAAAGTATTATCATAGAATCTGTCACGTCATATACAGTCTTGTAGGTCGGGCACTTCGTGGTAGGAGGTACGGTGGAGAAATCGATAGCGGATTCAAGAATCGGAGAGCCGAGTTCGAATTCCAGTCGAATTCATTATATTCACTTACGTATGAATCCTCTTCTTCTCCCCCTAGCTATGGGTAAATAGCAGGAGAGACCGGGTTCTACAGTCTTGAGTGGCAACTGGTCTAGGAGAAGGACACATTTGAATTAAAAACTTGATCCTCCTGATTTTGAGGTGGTTGTGCAGTAGGCTAACAACTACTTACTTAAAAAACTGTTTTTTTTATAGAAACCGCCACGTTTCCTATGTTCTTCAATGAATTTAAAGGTATAAATATATATATATATATATATATATATATATATATATATATATATATATATATATATATATACTTCGACGTGGGGTGGCCTGGCAAGCTTGTCTCTGCTAGATCAATTACAACTGGGTCCCCCATACTATATGCCAACACTAAACTAATTCTTGTAGCTATTCCTTTCAAAAGGTGTGTTTAGGGGTCATATTTTAAGAGGTTGTTTTGTTGTAAACGGAAGAGTTGGCAACACGTAAAATGGTTTTAATGCATACCAACGGGGCATATTAAATTGACCCGTCATTTTTTAAATGTGCCACCGAGTAAATATTTAATATTTTAACTCTTACAAAAATCTACAGAGTTTGTTTAGCTTTGAGAAGGAATCATTCGCAATTCTAACGCACACCCCCGGAGTTCTGTGTCGCATTGCTTGTCGTCTGTTAAAACACCACCCTAAATGGGTAAAATCCTGTATTTGCTAAATTTTGATGATTTCAATTCGTAGGTCGCATCTTGGGCACTGAAAATGTTAACATTTTGGAAAAAGAGTACTTAATATCAATCACCCTTTATCGTATTACGGATTTATTGATGGGTTATGACAAGTTACGGCTTATTGTTGAAAATTATCTCAAAATATAAAGAAGCATTCACTCCAACCGCCGTAACGTAGTTTCCTTGTGTCTTTTCTATAAATACTTGCATGGTAATTGTTTTCCTGATTTTTTCTCTATGATACCTAGATATTATGAATTTAAACGCAGTACTAGATTGGCGGTAAGGTCCCATCATTTTACAGTTGAAATGCCTTGATGTAACCGTAAGTTCTATGCTTACCCCGCTGAAACCAAGTAGTGTCTTTTCCCCTCTTTCCACGTGATCAAAACGGAATAGTCCATTATTTATGAGATATTGGCAGAACGTAACGGTCGTGCTAAATAACGAAGAAAGGGGCCATCACAATTATAATAGAATGCTTGGGATTACTAAATAGATATGTAACTTGCAGAAGTTTTGAATACATTACAAAATGTTGTTAAATGTTTTTATGTTGCATAAATTATGCATTCCAGATCACGAAAAAAGAAAAAAAAAGAAAAAATAAATTAAAAAATTAAATTTAAAATAAAATAAAAATTTGTTCAGTTAACTATATAAATTAATCACCCTACGGAAGCCAAAAAAATAAAATATGCCCATATCACGTAATGTCTCATAATGCAAAAAAAATACATTTTTTTTTTTAATTCAAAATGTTTAATTCCTTTATGTGATATCCGTCTTTTTATATGTCAAGGAATGTTGGACAATTTCCCCAAGGATGAGGAAAAAAAAAGGGAAATGTGGTTCTACAGGATACCGAGAATTTCATAAATGGAGCGAGTCAGCAGCAAGCAAGTCTTAAAAAAGGTGAAAGAAAACTTAAAAAAAGAACCATTAAATGTCGATGTCAAAGTTAAGTAAATAAATATTAAATTTGTTTTATTTCAACAGCTGGTGCAGCATAGGTCACTCAGACATTTTGAATGGGATCATAGTCAAGAAAGGGTTAAAAAGAAAAAAAATATTATTATTATTTCATAGATTTAGATTTGTGATACATAAAAGTGTATAACTTAAGAAAAACAAGTCTATTTCATGTTTCATTGCAATAACATCTTTATCCCCCAAAAAAAAAAAAAAAAAAAAACATTTTCAAAGGATCGTATTGTCTATTATGTGTGACACACCCTTTTCGGAAGAAGAGTTCCGATTGCCAAGTTCGTAAACGAAATCATTTATACGTTGGGTTGGAACAAAAGATCTTGGTCACATGACTTCGTTTCGCACGTAACTGAAAATTTATGACATATATATATTAAATAAAAACAGACCACTTTAAGGTTCCATGTAATAAATTATTTCACCACAGACCTTTTAAAGGGCTCTGGATCATCAGACTTTACTTCCAAACAAAAAATGAAAAGAAAATTTACACATTTTTGACGCGCCGTATGAAGCATATGTAAATTAACGAAGTGAGGATGTGGGGGGGGGGGAGACTACATGAGTGAGTTAGCAGATATTGACAGATTTAACTCACTCATGTCTTCTCTCCACCCCCATCACTTCCTTTTTGTTTGGAAGTAAAGTCTGATGATTCGCAGTCCTTTTAAAAGGGCCGTGGTGAAATAATTTATTACATGGAACCTTTATATATATATATATATATATATCCTGAAAGGTGACATTTCAACGTGACTTTATATTCGATTTGTGGATTGTGAATTTTAACGCTTCTTAAGCTTTTAAAACGGAAGAAAATGAAATAAATTTTCGTCATTTGATGCTCTTTTATTTCTGGAAAGAAAAAACAAAATCGCTTTACAAACAGCAAAAGAAGATAAGCGCCGTTCATGGAAACGGTGCCGTAGCTGAGAGTTTATTATTTGTGAGTGGCTCACTAAGTGGTGGAGTTTTGATCAGGGAGACCGAGGCCTAAAGTCATTGATGATGAACAAATCGAAACGCTATTTAAAAGTATTCCAGGTCACACGACATCACAGAGATATTCAACATATGAGGGTTGTAAGCAATTTTAAAATAATTGGATAACTTAATTGCTGCGATGTTTGGGTGACTGTATTGCGGTTATCTGCTGAAACAACAAAAAGCCGTTTTTAAAAGAATGAAAACTGACGATGAAAAATGGGTTGTATACAACAGCGGGTCGCGGAAAAAGACCCGGTGAAAACGAAATGACGGTCTGCATTCGAAAAATGTGATGTGTATTTGGTGGGATTGAAGTATATCGTGCATTATAAGAGCCGCTTTCGCAAAAAACGGACGTTAGATTGGGACAATTATTGTTTCCAGTTGGGTCTATTAAAGTCGGTACTTGATGAAAAGCGTCCCTTTGGAGATTTGGTAGAATTTGTTACAGGCCGCCTTACACCTTCCGATTATCAGTTATTCTGATACGTATAAAAATTCTCCATGAGAAGAAGAGCACTTCTCTAGAATTCTGTAAAAACCACTTAGAGAAGTTCATCACCCAGAAATATGCCAGAAGTTCTGGGCGATGTCAATCATGACGCTGCCTCAAAGATAGTGAAAGGTAGTGGAACCAAATGGCATATATGTGGTTATTACACGTGAACGCCCCCCCCCATACTGAGACGAGATGTAACACAAGGTCGAGTTTAATGTGGGGATCCCGAGCGCGTACACCCGGGACAAAGACAAAAATTTCCCAGACGCCGCAACGGTCGGTTGCGCTGGCCTCAGGTGACGAGCATCGATCCCCCTTATCTAGAAATGGCATATATGTTGTTGAATAAATATATGTATAAATATATAAATACTGTCTTTGAAATTAACAAAAAGCTATAAACTATTCTTCCAACCCAATAAAATCAGCGGCCTAATGGCGTGGAAAATAAGAGATTAAAAAAAAAAAATACTTATTTTTCAAAAATCTAATTTCTTGTCGGTGCACTCAATTGAATATTGTATTAAAAGATGTTTGCAGTTTATAATCAAACTGGACCAGGTTTTAACAGTTTATTTAATTCAAAGCCGCCACAGAAAACCTAAAAGAAGTAAACTTGTGTCTTCGCGAGTAGAAACATTAGAAACCACAGAGAAGAGATGAAATTGCTTTTTCATTTTAATACGTTTGCTGGGCCGAAGAGCATCTAACATTCAGAAGCCAAACTTCAACGTTTAAAAGAGACACATTTATTCGAGATGATTTTGAGTTGGACACCATTTCCTTTTGTTTACATCACGCTGAAACATCGCTTCCTGTACGATCACCGAAGTTAAGCAACGTCGAGACTGGTCAGTACCTAAACGGGTGACCACTTTGGAATACCAGGTGCTGTAACCTTCGATGTGTGGGTGGTGCAATTGGTTTACGGCCACATCACACTGAAACGCCGGTTCCTGTACGATCACCGAAGTTAAGCAACGTCAAGCCTAGTCAGTACCTAGATGGGAGACTGCTTGGGAAATCCAGGTGCTGTAAGCGTGGATTTGCATGCGGGGTAATGGATAATTGCTCGGAATTGTTAATCGGAGATCCAAGTTCCAATTCCAGTTGGGTTCGTTATATTCACTTACGCACAAATACCCTTGGGAAAGGTTTTAATTCATCTCCTCCCAGCTATGGGTTAATTAGTAAGACTTGTATCTCTAAAACCATTATTATCTAAATAAATAAATAATTGCGCACAAAATATTTAGATTTCCCCATAGAAGTTTATATACCGCTAAACAAAAACAACCATCCAAGTAATTTTTTTTATTTATTTATTTAAGTTTAGTTAAAAAATCAACAAAAATTATCTCTTAAGTAGTTTTTATACTTTATTTTTTAAGTATTTCGGACCATTTTCCTGGTCTCTGGTGAATATTTAAATATTAATTACCCATCGTTTCAACTTCCATAAACTATTATCAAAAGATTTATATTTGGTACTATGTCACTTTTATTTTTCTTCAAATATCGCGTCTTCGCATGTCATATAGATTTTTTTAAAGTATCGCGACTTCACGCGTCAGTTCGAGTTGTGCTGTTTATGTAGTGCATTTTCTATTTTTTTTTTCATAAATTTGATAACATTTTATTTGTGTTGTTTTTAATGTTTTCGCTACTTTTATTTTATTTTTACAGTTTACGTGATATATTGTATTATTGATAAGGATTTATCGGATTCCTTGCGTCTTCATACGGTTCTGCTTGATGATATGCGAATTAAATTGAGCTATTAGTGGATAAATGGCAAGTTATTCGACGCGATAATGTTGCAGTTATGTAACACATGTATTTGTTTGAATTATTAGATACATTCTCCAAGTGGACAAGCAAATTCATATACAATATTGGTTTGTTGAAGTTTTTTTATTATTATTATTGATGGTAATCATGTACGAGGTTTTAGTTCTTTTGTTGTAAGTGATGAGTAATTTATTTGTTTTGTCGTTAAGGAATACGCTTACATGGATTTATTTTTGTCTCGTTTGCGATTATTGCTTGGTTGGTTATCTAAAATAGTTTAAAGGCATTTTTGAAAATGATTATCATCATCTACACGGTGCGATGGATAAATTGTCAGCATTTTATATTTTTAATTTTGCGCATGCGCGTTGCTTTAGATTTTGTCGACTGCACAGTAAGTAGGGCTAGTTGGGCACCGTCTGTGAGAAAAAAAAGAGCACCATGATGCAATTCACTCCGCCAGAAATTTTGAAACGGCATGGTGTACTGCTTGGCATTCGCGCCGGAAGCTCCAATATGAACATTTCAGACTTTTCTGGAGGTCAATCGGAGGACAGCGTAGAGGATTCAGAAAGAAATAATGGTGATTACGAAGCGGTTTGGAGTAATAACTAGTGATGGCGACGTTACGCCTCCATTTATTTTTCCACGGAGCCTCACACTCAACATGGAGACCTACATCAACTGCCTTCAGGAGGTAATGCTGCCCCGGAAGACCATATATCAGGCAACAGGACTCTGCACCATGACACACAAGCTGGAGAACCCAGTCATGACTGTCAGATAATTTCTGTGACCAGATCACCGCTTATATCTGGCCACCTCACTCCCCAGACTGCAATCCCCTTGATTATGTGGGGCACAGTTGAGTGAGAGACCAACAAAACTCCTCGTTAAACCAAAGATGAACTGAAGGCAAGGATTATGGCAGAATTCACCAACTTAAACAAGGAGACCGTCCAGAAGAGTTGCAGGAGATTCCGAAGTCATCCGGAGGCCGTGGTTGAAGCCAATGGCAATTTTATGAATAAATTTAATTTTTAGTATTTCAAGATATTTTTGTTCAATTTTGGTAAACATATCTGTTAAAATGAGATATCAGCATTAATTTCATTTTTGTATAATTTAGACGACGGTTTATCCATCGCAACCTGTATATATCAATACGCTTGCCCCCTAAATATGTATGGTGTTGTGTCACACTTGATATGACAGATACTTAGAGGGAAACAAATAGAAACACAGACGGACATGATAGATAGATAGATAGATAGATAGATATCTATTTCTTGTGAAAGGTTAGATTAGGTTTCGAAACCTAACGATCTGTTCACGACAAGTTCGTTCCGGAACTACGACTGTTCTTTTGAAATTAATTTTTTTAAAATCTTATCTTCGCGATTTTCTTACAGGCTGAAAGAACCCATACTGTTTCGAGTGTTTGAGAGGGAAAATAGAGAGGAGAAAAAAAAAGCAGAGAGAGGAACCTGTAGCGATATAAAGAGAGTGCGTAAGAGAGACTATATCTTTTATTATACCTATCTGGGAATGGTCATAGGTTGACTAGTACACAGGATAGAAATAAAACATTTATAATATGGCTTTGTTAGTTTGTATTATTAGTCGTTTTAGTTTTTGTAAGGTTTGTTTATCATTTACGTAGTTGAGAAAATTACTTGTTTTGTGCTTGAGTTTGTTATAAGATCCTGTACGTGCAGAGAATATTAAATAAGCTATGTTTACGATAGCTATTTTCTAGCTGTGTTGACAAACGTTTTTGTTTTAATAAGAGTTTTAAAATATTTATTATTCAAATCGATTAGTACGTCTAAAAAGGTTATTCTGTTATTTATGTTTAGTTTTAAATTAAGGGCCGAGTTATTTTTGTTCCCAGATTTAGTTTTTGTTGTTTATATAAACAATATTGTCAAGGGAGGAGGAAAAATTCTGATAACGTTGGTGCAATCAGTGAACCCATGACAAGACCGTAAAAGGGGCTCGTTTCGCATAGACTATTTCTTGAGAATTGTTGATTTTACATTTGGAGACTGGAGCGATGGCTGTTTATACATTTTACTATTATTATTTCTATTGTTTCACTGAGAGACACGTTGGTAAATAGATTTTCGACGTCGTTTGATTTGTTGTTCTTGAGGATTTGGATGAAATCATGAAAAATTTCTGCTGTACTTAGAGAGTAGTTATGTTTTGTTGTTTTGGGGATATGGCAGCTACGTGAAATAATTTGTGTGATTATTGGCCTTAGTTGTTTATGAATTCGCTGATATACTTAGAGAATGCCCCTCTAATAATAATTCAATAATAAGTCTAACATACATTGGTTACACTCCTACAGCATTATCACGCCGATTGACTTGTCATTTACTCAACTCACTAATAGTTCAGTTAAGTCGCATATCACCAACGGTCACAAGAACAAAAATTTGACAAACCCTCATCAATAAACACAGAAATAATATATCATAAACTGTTAAAAAAAAAACAAAAAAAAAAACACACAACACTATAAATTCTAGAAACATTAAGCATACAAAACAGACATTTTAAAAACAAAACGAAACTGATAATGCCTTATGAAAGCCGAAATATTTAGATATTGGACAGTTTATATCAAAGTTTCACCGCTAACCAGGAAAATGATCATTGTTATAGGAAGATGAGAGAAAGATTTTAAAACAAAAAACTCAATAACAAACAAAAAACAAAAAAAAAAAACAAAAAAAACAAAAAAAAAAAAAACAAAAAAACGAAATACTGACGTGAATAAGAAGTGCTTAGAACTACAAACTTAGTCTTAGATGAAGAGGGGGAACCTGCCACTTAACTCTCAAGTGTGTTCAAGGGTTAGGCAATAATAACGTTACCTTTGTCAAATTTAATTTAGGCTTCCCTTTTTTCCATCTTACGTTTGCCTTGTACTGAAGTCATGCCAAAAAGACAGTACCCCGTATTAGCTTTTTTATTTGACTATCTTATAACAGATTAAAAAAAATACTTTGTCAATGAAAGAATGAACGAATATATTTGAAATTTAATGAAGTTTTACTGATCGTTTTGGTTATATTTTTTATAAGAGTGAGTCATCCTCATTACCTTTGTATTCCATTAGTAAGGAGGAAGTTGTACTCGGTCAGCTGCTGCTTTGTGGAACAGACACTCGAGAGGATGTTTTTCTAATTACTATAATCTTCAAGTGTAGGGTTAACACAGACCCAAAATGCACCTTACCCTTGTCTTGTGCTCCTATAGACCACACAGTATTCCTCTACCTTAACTGGCTCTTGGGCCTTGTATTAGGTTACCATTAGTATAGAAAATTAAATGATCAATTTTTTTTTTTTTTTTTACAAACTGCTTCACCTTTATTACTTTTAATGCAATAAAGGATTTCAAACATGATTGGGTAGGAACAATCGTTTACAGAGAAATGTGCAAGTCAATGGTATATGCAGGAAACAGGAAACTATTTTAGATAAAGAAAAGATTAAAATATTCTGGATCTTCAAATGGATCGCCAAATCCATGTCATGGGATTATATCAATTCGTTAATCTATGGCAAATGTTCGGATGAGCGCTCTTTTCTTTAGGTGCACCAGTTCCGTCTCTGCAGAGAGAACACACCATGCTAGATCCACGGAGTCGAATCACCTTCATTTTCCCCGTGTTCTTTGTTGAGCAAGCGCCCATGTTGGTGCTTCCCTGGACATTTCAACTTAGATAACGATTGACTATTGACCGTGAAGAGATCAATCTTTATCCTCATAATTATTACTTAATACCAAATACGGCGTTCATCATAATCGTTTCGATTGTACCCTTCTGCCTTGAGTTACTCTCAAGCCTTGTGTTAGATGAAATGTTAGTTAAAAATGCAATCCTACAAAAAACAAAAAAAAAGATTTAACAGATATTGGAGTTAGAGATCCTGCAAGGAATCTAAAAGAAAATTAAAAGGGTGGAAAATACCTGAAGCTTTGTCGAGAATGGGGAAAATTACGAAAGGTGTGTCAACCATGGATGTGTGGGTGGTGTAAAGGATAACGAGTTCGAATTCCAGTCGGGTTTGTTAGATTCACTTACGATACCCTTGGGGAAAGTCATGAGACATCTCTTCCCTTCCCCTCTAGAAATCAGTTGAATCGCAAGACTGGGTTCTACAGTCAATCCAATGCAGAAAGAAATGGCAACCTACTGCGGGAAAAAATCTACCTAATCACCCATGAAACATGTCTCACGTACGGCACGTAACTGAAAGAGTCAGTTATTTAGGTGATGACGTTGTGGAGAGACATGATCGCCGAAGCCAGTATGGCACTTAACTGATCATCCATGGTTTGCGGAGAGCCTTGAAATATAACGAGAAATATTGGAAATCCGAGGAAAAAATCAAAACCATTCGTACAGCTGAAGGATAAAATTTAACAGGCATACTGAGGAGAGTTCTGGGAAACCATCAGCTAGTGTAAAAATGGATGGTACAAGAATAAGGAAACGGTACAAGAATAATAAGGAAACAATTCCAGAATAAAATGTTAAATTTTATTTGTTATTCAATGACGGAGGAATAAGCGCCATGGATCTGTGGTGGCCAGAAACAAGAAGTTTCATTTTTTTACGATAAAGTGAAGATGTGTTTTGTGAAATTCCATCGCTCACAACAATATTAACTTAGTTTTTTTTTTTTTTTTTAATCCGTTAATTTAAAGAAAATAGAAACATTTTACAATTATTTGAAAAGTTCAAAAGGAAAAAAAAGCGTTCCAGTATCAACTTAAGACGAGATAAGCTTAAAGAATCTCATTAAGATTAAACTACATCAATATATTCAAGAATGTCATAAAACGCTTAGCTATAAAGAGAAAGAAAAGGGAAAAATGATTTGACATGTACAAATAAATTGTTAAACTTCTGCAGCTAAAATCTTATCTTTAATTTTTTTTTTTTTCTATTGACGAATGGACGGAAGAAGAGTTAAATTTAGTGACCATTAAAGAATAAAGACTACCCTCCAACCAATTGATTCCAAAAGTTAAACAACGGACATTTTGCCCTCTGTGGAAGACACAGGAAATTAAACTGTTATAAATTAAAAATGGCCGCTTCTGCGGTCGGAAACAAAAGGAGACAGAAAAATGATAACATTTGTGTTTAGAATCACAGAAAAAAAAAAAAAAAAAAAAAAAGATAAATGACTTTAATGGGAGCAACAATAATAACAAGAATTTTTTTTTCTTTTTCCTTCATTTCAAAGGGAAAAATATTGTGAAGGAAAAACCGTTTCCTTCTAGTCGCTTTTTTTATTAGCGGATTATCGTAAATTTTTCATCCATGGTAATTACGTTGTCAAATATGAAGAGATTAATCCGCTGAGAGTAACAAGTATACTTCGAGATATTTTCATTTTATCCCCAGTTGGAAAACAAAAACAAACATACATACAAGGTCTTAAATGTTGACCAGTGTTCAGTATAAACCAAGCCACAGACAGTTTCTAATTTCAATGACGGTGTCTTTGGAGACGAATCTGAACTTTGGTTTTATGATAGACTCAACGATTCGAAATAATGTGACATATTTGCCCTTTGTCTTAGACCTTAACCTCGGAGAAAAAAAAACGTATAAATAAATAAGGCCTGATGTAAGTGTACACCAATTGACACTCGTATTTCGCTTGCATTTTTCTTAGATAAATTTTGATAGAAGTAAAGTCATTCCAAATTAAATAAAGTAAAAAAATGATAAAAAAAAAATAAAATCACAAACGTCTTTACAAAAAAAAAAAAAAAAATCGGGAAAATATCTAAATTAAATTTAACAAAAATATAAATCTAATGATTAAGAAGAAAATGCCGGTGTTCTGCTAAAGCTCAAAGAACGAGGAATTGGTAAATCCATTTGTTGCTTAATGAAGAATGGTTGACTGAAAATAAAATTAAACTGTCGACCAAACATTGTATATATGCGGTTTGGACTTTATAATTTCCAATATGTTTAATGAAAGCTTCGAAAAGCTTTTAAAGTTTCCGAGAAGATAACGATGTGAGAACGAATCTTGATAGCATTGGTCGAGTGTCCTATAACCGGGATAATGCTTCTTCAAGTTGGATGTTTTTATCTTGGACATCTTTGCTTGCTGGCAAATTGCCGTTGTTGGCAGCGAATCTGGACGCGAAAGACTTGACAACTCTGGCGCTCAGTGGGGCCTGAAATAAAGAATAAAGTCGAAATCAGATTCAGATGGTATATATTTTTTTCAGATAATTACACGTGAATACTTATAAATCTTGAAGGCAATTTTTATTGTGTAAAACAGGCGACTTTCTTTATGCGCAGGACATGCGCGATCAGAACTCACTGCAACTCTCCTTGTACTGAGCAAGGTCTGTCCTTTTACTGTCATCCATTTAGGTAAGTTACCTACTGTTCCTCATCGTCCCTTTTGTCTTTAATATGGTCTACAAGTGTCAAGTCTTTTTTCCTCATATCTAAGAACTCGTTAAATTAATTAAAAGCAGAAGAAATTATTTCTAAATTTTAAAGTAGATATACTTTAAATTATCTGATCTAATTTAATTTTATTCGAATAAATATTTATAATAGTACTGTCTTCTCATGATCCTCGTTATTTTAAGACTGTGTTAATGACGAGTTTCAGAAATACAAAAACAAGAAATGAGCTCAGGATTACAAAAAATAGACAGGGTAGGAATGACGATTGACTGGAAATTGTGCAAACGACCGAGGTGCAGACAAATGCTATATACACAAAGCAAGTTCCCGAGAAGATAAGGGATTTTGAAATTCGAAAGGATCACTCAAGATATATTTTGGGATAATATTTGGACAAGAAAAAATAAGGAAAATTAAGGTGACACGTGTGTATTATAATGATGATAGATCGAGTTCATTTCAAATCCGAGGAAGAAATGCCATTGTTCATGTGATGTTTTTTTTTTATGTGAATTTTTAGAAAGTAAGGCACCAAAGATCTTTTGCAGAGGTTTTTCATTTTTATTTATAACTAGCTTAAAAGTGGCACTTACGTTGAATTAAATCATTTTACGTATATATATATAGGTGTTATAAAAGTGAACATTGATGTCAACACTCAGAGGCGACAGGCTGTTTCATGCTAGATGCAATCGTCAGGCCGCCTCTTGCGTCTAGCCTGAAACAGCCTGTCACCTCTAAGTGTTGACTTCAATGTTCACTTTTATATTTACACACGCTCTATCTCTGATATTGAGCACTTTATCCCATAAGTATAGCACACTTTAAGACTATATACCTTCATATATAATCTACTAGCTTCAAAGCCTTACTGCGTGCGGTTTTTTAAGCTAGCTCCTATGGAGGGCTAATTGGGTCTTTGGCCCCAAACCGAAAGACCTCTGGTACAGCTTGAAAAAAAAAAAAAAAAAAAAAAAAAAAACAGCAATGGTTATTTTGAAGAGATAACTTTGAATTTCCATAATTCATCTCATAGAACTTCAAAACTTCACTTTAACTCCGATTCAGTTTACAAGTCCAATTCCGGCCATAAAGACCAATTTGGGTCGAATTTCCAATTCAGGCCGAAAATCATAAACAAAATCTTCAAATCATAAAATCCATAGAACGTCAATTGAGTTCTTCAAATCAAATTTTGCGGAACTTCGAAACCACACGTCACGAAATCTCTCACTTTAACTTCGATTACTTGACATTTTGAAGAAATAAAATTCAAATTTTGGGAGATATTTTAAATTGAATTTAAAACAACTTTTTTTAAAAATTTACAAGTTTTTGAGTTACTTTAGACTCAAAATAAATTAAAAAGTTAAAATCACTATTTTTTCTCCAGTTATTTTAAAATTTGAATTTTTACTGTGCCCTCCTTTATCCGGACCCAAATCCGAATATTGGATATCCAAGCACCAGATAAAAGGCAATTTTCAATCTTGGATTCCAAAATGGTTTATGTAGAGCAAGTGTGGCTCGAGTTGGGGTGGGGTTGTTCAGACACACGGACGGACAGACAGAATGTGCGATTTATTTAAAATAAGAAAATAGATATAAACAAACCGAGATAGATGCGGAGGGGACCGAGTTATATTTAAATGAATAAAGGAAAATGAATAAAGAATTATTCTATTTATTTAGCTAACTGAATGTAGTTTCTTAAGGGATTCTTGGGAAAAAAAGAGATAAACGAACAAACGAGAGGGGGTGAGAGAGAGAGACAAACGAATGAATGAACGAACGAACGAACGAACATGTGAAGGAGAGAGAGAGACAAACGAATGAATGAACGAACGAACGAACGAACATGTGAAGGAGAGAGAGAGACAAACGAATGAACGAACGAACGAACATGTGAAGGAGAGAGAGAGACAAACGAATGAATGAACGAACGAATGAACGAATGAATGAACGAACGAACGAACATATGAAGGAGAGAGAGACAAACGAATGAATGAACGAACGAACATGTGAAGGAGAGAGAGACAAACGAATGAATGAACGAACGAACGAACATGTGAAGGAGAGAGAGAGACAAACGAATGAATGAACGAACGAACATGTGAAGGAGAGAGAGAGACAAACGAATGAATGAACGAACGAACGAACATGTGAAGGAGAGAGAGAGACAAACGAATGAATTTGAAGGGAGAGAGAGACAAACGAATGAATGAACGAACGAACGAAATGAAAATGAACGAACGAACGAACATGTGAAGGAGAGAGAGAGACAAAGAATGAATGAACGAACGAACGAACATTGAAGAGAGAGAGAGACAAACGAATGAATGAACGAACATTGAAGGAGAGAGAGAGACAAACGAATGAATTGTGAAGGAGAGAGAGACAAACGAATGAATGAACGAACGAACGAACATGTGAAGGAGAGAGAGACAAACGAATGAATGAACGAACGAACAACATTGAAGGAGAGAGAGAGACAAACGAATGAATGAACGAACGAACATGGAAGGAGAGAGAGAGACAAACGAATGAATGAACGAACGAACGAAATGTGAAGGGAGAGAGAGACAAACGAATGAATGAACGAACGATGTGAAGGAGAGAGAGACAAACGAATGAATGAACATGACAAACGAATGAATGAACGAACGAACATGTGAAGGGAGAGAGAGACAAACGAATGAATGAACGAACGAACATGAAAGGGGAGAGAGAGACAAAGAATAAATGAACGAACGAACATGTGAAGGAGAGAGAGAGACAAACGAATAAATGAACGAACGAACATGTGAAGGAGAGAGAGACAAACGAATGAATGAACGAACGAACATGTGAAGGAGAGAGAGAGACAAACGAATGAATGAACGAACGAACATGTGAAGGAGAGAGAGACAAACGAATGAATGAATGAACGAACGAACATGTGAAGGAGAGAGAGACAAACGAATGAATGAACGAACGAACATGTGAAGGAGAGAGAGACAAACGAATGAATGAACGACAAGGGGGAGGAACAAAAGAAAGTCAAAACAAACAAGGAAGAGAGCGACAAAAACTTTCTGAAATGAAATACCACAGTTTTATGAATTTCAAGATTTTGTATATTCACAGTTCTGTGTTCAGTTCTACATAACTGCAGACTGATCAATAGGATTTCGAGTCATCAGTCCGGGTCGTTAACGCTTGAATCATCTCAGTCATATACTCATTTTCTAAGTGTAGTTTATATGTGGCACAAGGCTGAAATCATGGGGCACCCAGTGAGGATCGAACTCACTCCAGTCGTAACTATTTTAGTGAGACAAGTGTGCTAACCATTACACCACGCAGAGATTTCCATTATCAGTCATAACTTCTGCTATTATATACGGGATAACGATTTATTAAAAAAAAATTATATACCAAGAACAATTTTAGGAGATGTATAACAAAGTGGAAAAATTTTCGTGACGAGTTTTGCCCTTTAGATTATGTTTACGTTGATGTGACTACGCATGCGCACGAATGATAAACGCTTGTAATTTTAAATTAAAAGAATATTATATATATATATATATATATATATATATATATATATATATATATGTGTGTGTGTATTTAGGCAGCATTTTTTCATTCATACATGTTTCATTAAATAATATAGACAAGTGTTGTCTATTTTATGTAAATTATTTTCATAACGTCTGATAAGTTTAATAACATTATCATTAAACGAAGAAGGAAAATCACAATATTGATACATATTTTTTTAATCCAATCTAAGCTTTCGGCTTACATAAGCCATTATCAATGATGTCAATTACTGTACAACATATTAAGCAATATACGGACAAGACAGTCTGTGATTGTTTACATGGATGATTTCCAAGCAACGATAAACACGTGCATATAAGACGCTAGAAGCGAAAATAGCACCGCAACACATGACGTCACACATGACCACGCGAGAGTGAATTCGAGAAGTATTAAATATATATCTCCGTTTAATAACTAGTAGATTTAATTTAGATTCTTTTTGCTTCCATTTTTGTTATTGATATTCTACATTCGGAAAACAGAAAATCTGCCAAGAATGGTTAAACGTAAAAACCTGGGCGCGAATTCGCGAATCAAAAATTATCTGCACATTCGACATAACATATCTTTAGCTTTGTCTCACTGCCTTTTGCTCATGCGTACTTAGAATTGGTGCTATTGAGGTCACGTGATTGAAGTTTGAGATTGTAACATAAGCAAGAAAACTGGCGCGATCAGTGTCCGGCCACTTAAAATTCTCGACCAACTCATACACAATTCTATATTGTATTGCACTGTTGCCGTATTGTGCTAAAAGCCTCCGATTAATTTCAGCCTCTGACACCTTCCGACCAGAGAAATTGCATCACTGCTCTCTGTTTCTCCTTGGTGCACACGACTAGTGGAGTGGCCATGTTTACACTGTAACACCAGCAAGGAAACTTGCGCGACCACTATAATATCACTTGTAAGCACACATGAACAGAATGCAGTGTGCCAGACCTAAAACTATGTTAGGGCCGAAATGCGGATAAATTTTTGAAAAATTACGAAAATGAAATCAAAATATTACTCAAGAATGTATTAGCCAATTTATAAGTGTTTCCCGCGGGATTCCTAGTGACCTCTTGCGGATCCCTAGTGACCTCTTGCGGATCCCTCAGCTGCCGGGAATCATCGATTGAGAAACGCTGGTCAAAATAATCAAATTATTTGTCGTTCAACAATTTAAAGGTGATATGTGTCTAGTGAATAAAATCGGGGTGAGTCGGATGTTCGTTTTATATTCGACATAAAACGGACATCGGTTCGGAATGAGATCCGGGTTCGAATTCCAAGAGTTCGTCACATTTACCTACGCACAGATACGCCTGAGAAAGTTATGAAGTCATCGCTTCCTTCTCCAACTATGGGTTGTATAGCATGACAGACAGGGTTCTATAGCTTTGGTTGGCAACCAGTCTACCACAGAAAATAGCAACCTACTGCTGGAAATATCTTACTTGTCAGTCATGAATCGAAAGAAACATGATCGCCCAACGTGTATCACGTATGGTACTTAACTGAAAAGTCAACAGTTATTTAAGTGAGGAAGTTGTGGAGAGACATGATCGCTCAAGCGTGTATTGCGCATGGCAGTAATTACCTGTTGCGTTAATTTAATCCCTCGTAACTTGTGTTTCTTGTGATAAAGAATAATAGAATCTAAATAAGGGTAAGGCTGTTTATCCAAATAGTAGAGACCATCCCTTTGGGTAATCCAATGATGCCGGAGGGAATCTTCCGTTCTGAAAGATAAAAGAAAAAAAATTATCGATATACATTATATAGTTGGGCAGGTTGATTTTTTTTTTTTAATTTTAGAAAATCAACATGCCACTCAGTGTAACAGTTGAGGATTAGATTCATAGCTTTCATTAAGTTTCTAGCATTTAGTTTCAAAGATAGTTAGTTTTTATATATCTCACATACAAATTTTATTAAAAATGACTGACAGTCGTTTTAATGTAACCTGTATAATATAGGGACTGCTGCACAAATTATATATATGTTATGAGTATTTAACGAATTATAAATGTTACTAATTTTAAGTATCTGATAAAACTGAAGAGAGCTCGACACTGGTGGTGACCATGATGAAGGCTGTCAATATATTTTAGTCAAAAGATCCGATTAACTTCGACAAAATTGAACCAAAATGGCAGAATAAAGTCCCAAACTGGAGCCTATAGCGATAGTTTAGAAAGACCGATATACAACGAAAGATATGTGAGAAGGATTTAGTTATATTAAGGTATTTATGGTCTGAAGTGTTCAATCAGGAATAGAATGTATGTAAATGTTGGCATTGAAGTCAACATCCATGGGTGACAGTATTTCATGCTTAAACGTCAGGTCATATGCGTTGTGTTTATATATACAGGTCAATGATGCATTGTTTAATACAATAAGTCTATTGTATTGAACAATGCATCACTAATCTGTATATGTAAATAGTCGAATAAAAACACAACGCATATAACCTGACGATTGCGTTTACGCAATGAAACACTGTCGCCTCGGGGTGTTGACATCAATGTTCTCTTTATATATTATAACTACTGATTTTAACCCGTTACTGGGTGTAGCTTTACAAGAAATATTTTAAAAACCTGTTCATGAGAAAAAACAACGGTGAATTCGTCCCAAGTTTAAAGGTTTGACATAAAAGTCAATTTTCAAAATGGCGGAGAATAATCCTTCCGTTCATTTGCACATGCGCATAGTCACTCTTCAAATATTCGTAATGTATACTAACTTGTGGCAGTAATTCACAAAAGTCACCAGTTGTGTGTGTGTGTGTGTGTGTGTGTGGAGACAGGGATCAACACTACATGGTGGCTGTCAATTTCCCGCTTAGATGAGATCTTCAGACAAAGTTAGACTGGTGTCTGTTTTTGCGGCTTCTATTAGCAGTGATTTGTTGTTTTTTCCTGGGTTTTGGGTGCCGGATCCTCAGATATATCTGTGTTAAAATTGGTTTGTTTTGTTGTGTTTTACGGCATATCAACCTCAATAGGTTATTTAATACCTGCCGACAAAGTTTTTATTGCTGGTAATATTTTGTTTTGTCAAAAATCTATTTCTGGTAATAATTTTTTTTCCTTCAAAAATGTATTGCTGGTAATATTTTTCCCCAAAACGTATTGTTGGTAATTTTTTTTTCAAAAATGTATTGCTAGTTTTTTTATTTTATTTTTTTACAAAGTATTTCTGGTATTAAAACTTATTTTTACACAAGTTTGGGTGTTAACTATTTGCCCATAGCTGGGACCCTAACAGGTGCTACCACCCCGGGTCAAGGTGTACTTGGGAACACCAGCAATTAAGATGTGGTTCCACGCTCCTCAAAACAAAACCTGATCAGAGGCTTTGCTGATGGACGTAGTTTATCGTCTTACCCAGAACGCGGATGTAGTTTATCGTCATACCCAGGACGGTGTTAAAAATGGTGAATCTACCATTGAGCATAAAGTTATAAATCTTGGAAATAGACTTAAAGATTGATTTGTCTTGGTAGCTTTTTATGAATGCCATATCATTTTTATTTCAGGTTTTGTTTTTTTTACTATTTATTTTCTCCGTTCCTGGTCTTAGAACCCAATATTGGGAAAGATCAAAAGGGAAGCCCAATCGCCCTGACATGACAGGGATACTTGTCTACTTGTGTTCAAGTTCGGGCTACGGGCACCTATAGGCGTTATCTTCCTCTATTGTAGCGGAATGTCGGAAAGGCAGAAAGGATCATAGCTTTAGCTTTCAAAACGACTGAAACTCAGCAACCGCTTTTAAAGAAAGATGCACAGAAAATCTAGAAACAAAAATTGATCAGTTTTTGCGGATGGAAAAAAAAAAAAAAAAAAAAAAAATGTAAAACAATACTAAAAGTTTTTTTTTTTTTCCAAATTGTTTTTTTAATGATAAATAATTCTCCCACGACACGAGTTTTGCATTTTTGATCAGTTATGGTTAATGAGCAATAAAGTAAACCAATCAATAATCAGGAAGGTGAAATGATAATAGCGGATAAATCCTTTATATCAGAGAGATGAGGAGGAGTGAGAGAGAGAGAGAGAGATGAGGAGGAGAGAGAGAGAGATGAGGAGAGAGAGAGAGAGAGATGAGGAGGAGAGAGAGAGAGATGATGGAGGAGAGAGAGAGAGATGAGGAGGAGAGAGAGAGAGATGAGGAGGAGAGAGAGAGAGAGATGAGGAGGAGAGAGAGGTGGGAGAGATGGAATGAAAGAGAGAGAGAGAGAGAGAGAGTGATATCCATTTTATGTTTGTTTGACCAGCATCAATGCGTGGATCCCAGACAGATAAAAATCGATTTCATGACTGCCAAATACAAAATGAACCCAGTGAATGGATACACATCAAACCTGGTGGAAAAATTGAAACAAAAGCTTTAGTGGACTGATAAAAAAAAAACATTTGACTATCCAAATTTTGTAAAACTGGGTTTAGAAATCAATTTTTAGCCTGCCTGCAAAAATAATTAAAAAAAAAAAAAAACTATATCCAAACTAAACATTGCAATTGAATTTTTCATTTTAAGTTTTGATAAAAATCAAATTGAATGAATTTGTGTTTCTAAATTCTACTAAATCCACTTAATGATAGAGTTTGGATCTGTTACAAAATTACGTTGTACCTCGGAGCCTACCCGTAAAATAACGAAATGCTTTCATATTACGTTGTACCTCGAGCCTACCCGTTAAATAACCGGTAAAATTAATTTTAAGGGTGATAGGGAAGGAAAGAAAAAAAAGCTAAATTTTGATCAAGATTAAAAATTGAGAATTTTATTGAATACAAGAAAAAAAAAAAAAAAAAAAAAGTCAATGCCAAATGCAAAATTGCGAAGACATTCCAGTGAAGCAGAACTGAATGCCTTCACGTCAAAAGTGGAAATTTCTTTTCTGGAGAGATTTAATTAAATTTGTTTACATTTTTTTTTCTCTAGTTTTCTTTGTCAAGTGAGCGAATTCTTTCCTTTATTTGAAAAACCATCGCGGTTCTCCCCTTTTTTTTTTTTTTTTTTAACGAGCCTGAAGCTCTGTAAACTTAGGGAAGTGACCCCTCCCCCGTGAAGAACAGCAAGTCAAATACATTTGTGAACAAAGAACATTGCTTAGTTTTCTACAAAATGAATGCATACGTGCGTGTGTGTTTGTTTCTTGCACATATTGATTACAATCGAAATACTATGATTAGCATTAGTCAAATATTAGGAGATAACACCAAAATACTATATAACACATTGTAGAGAAAGACAAAAATATCCGACAGCAGATGATTTAAATTTCCCATGAGTTTTCGCTTAAGAATCGAACACAACGTCCAATAATCTGAAATAGTCTTTTAATCAAGAATGAGATTCTTGATGAGATGTGATACAGCGAAGCAGGTTTGTATGTGGATGACTATATTACGCTCTCGTTATTTGATCGAGCACTATAGAGAAAAGGATAATTTCAAAACAGCAGCAGCCGCCGCTATTAACGCACAGCTGTTGATTAATGAATTGAGCCATTCGTATGTAATGCGTTAGATATTCTCTTTCTCTGCTGTGCGCCGATAGCTAAGAGCTCTGACTTATGCCAAATTGGTTGGGTTTCGATCCCGGCTTGAAGCAATCTGATATCTAGGCACACTGATGAGCTGTGATTTAGCGAAACAGTATCGGGATGACTTATATATATATATATATATATTATATATGCAAATATATAAGAAAGAACAAGTTAGGTAAAGAAGCCGAAGTTCTTTAATATTTTTGTTTTTATTTTTAAAAAACAGTGATCAATACAAGTAGAGCCTAAAAATTTCGCTTGAGGATGAAACAGAGCTTGATACTTTAATTCAATTTAATTTTAATAATTATATTGAAGTTTTTGAAACATGAGAACTCTTATGTAGCGAAGGATTCATGTTTTAAAAGAGATAAATATATAAATATATATATATAAATATATATATATAATATATATATATATATATATATATATATATATATATATATATATATATATATAATATATATATATAAAGATATATATGTAAGGGAGAGAAGACCTTTCATTTTTTCATCACATTATTAAAAGTTATGAAAATGGGTTTCGCATGTCAGCAGCAAAAAGGAAAAATGCAGTGTTTATCACAAAATGATAAACAAGTGGAAACACTAAAACAAGACGTACTTGATTTGTGTCTCCGCCAGATAAGTGCCATACGTGATAAACACGATCATGTCTCTTTCGATTCAGGACTGATTTTTTCTGCAGTAGGCTGCCGTTTCTTTCTGCGGCAGACTGGTTGCCAACCAAGGCTATAGAAACCGTCTGCCCTGCTATTCAATACATGGCTTGAGTTGAAAGAGGAGAGAAGAGATCGACTCACACCTTCCCGAGGGTATTTGCGCGTAACGAACCCGACTGAAATTCGAACTCTGCTCTCCGATTACTCATACAAAGCCGATATCTATTGCACCACAACACAATGCACATCGCTTTATGTCTGGTGCAATAGAAAAGGCATCGTCTATTACGAGCAACTGGATTATTGCTAGAAACTTGATCAAGTGTCTCGTTTTGGTAAACAGTGTTTCTCCAGCATGACAATACAAGAGTACACTCCGCAAAAAAAGATTGTTAAGATGAGCGTTTCTTTCACGTCCGCCATTACCAGAACTTCTTTGGTTTCGATCACCGGAATATTTCAATAGCACAACATTTAAATACAAAAGTTGAAAGTCTTTCATTTTTTTTTTGTGAAATAAATTCAGTTGTCTTGAAATGAAGAATAAAAATTTAAAAATTGATTACAATTTGGTGTTAATAAAATTTAAATAAACTTCACTTACATCAGCTTTTCCGACGATTTCTCAAACTGTAAGTTTTATTTATTTATTTATTTTTTTTTTTTTACAAACATCCACTAAAAACAGTTTCCTGGAAATACTTTGATTATTTTTTTCCTTCACAGATTCATTTTGCTTAAGTAAAAATAGTGATTCGTTTGTCAGTGAAAATATCGCATTTTCTCAAAATTAAACGAATCAATAAGGAATATTTATTTTTACAAAATTTGTTCTCAAAATTCGGTGTTCTTCACGTACATAAAGGTTAATTTTTCAGTGATACAGGAAACCTAGAAGAGATTCTGTAGATAATTGTTGTTTAGAATTGCCATTTCATTTTCTTGTCAGTGTATTAATAAGAGAAATTATAGCTTACACCACAAATAAAATAGTTATATTCAAGTGAAAAAAGACCCCCCCGCTAAAAAAAAAGACTCCATAACCAAAGAAAGGAAAGACTCGGAAAAAAAAAGGGATGGAAAGCGAGACAGACTCTACAAAGCCAGGAAAGAAAGCGAGACAGACTCTACAAAGCCAGGAAAGAAAGCGAGACAGACTCTACAAAGCCAGGAAAGAAAGCGAGACAGACTCTACAAAGCCAGGAAAGAAAGCGAGACAGACTCTACAAAGCCAGGAAAGAAAGGAGACAGACTCTACAAAGCCAGGAAAGAAAGGAGACAGACTCTACAAAGCCAGGAAAGAAAGCGAGACAGACTCTACAAAGCCAGGAAAGAAAGCGAGACAGACTCTACAAAGCCAGGAAAGAAAGCGAGACAGACTCTACAAAGCCAGGAAAGAAAGGAGACAGACTCTACAAAGCCAGGAAAGAAAGGAGACAGACTCTACAAAGCCAGGAAAGAAAGCGAGACAGACTCTACAAAGCCAGGAAAGAAAGCGAGACAGACTCTACAAAGCCAGGAAAGAAAGCGAGACAGACTCTACAAAGCCAGGAAAGAAAGCGAGACAGACTCTACAAAGCCAGGAAAGAAAGCGAGACAGACTCTACAAAGCCAGGAAAGAAAGCCGAGACAGACTCTACAAAGCCAGGAAAGAAAGCGAGACAGACTCTACAAAGCCAGGAAAGAAAGCGAGACAGACTCTACAAAGCCAGGAAAGAAAGCGAGACAGACTCTACAAAGCCAGGAAAGAAAAGGAGACAGACTCTACAAAGCCAGGAAAGAAAGCGAGACAGACTCTACAAAGCCAGGAAAGAAAGCGAGACAGACTCTACAAAGCCAGGGAAAGAAAGCGAGACAGACTCTACAAAGCCAGGAAAGAAAGCGAGACAGACTCTACAACGCAAGGAAAGAAAGCGAGACAGACTCTACAACGCAAGGAAAGAAAGCGAGACAGACTCTACAACGCAAGGAAAGAAAGCGAGACAGACTCTACAAAGCAAGGAAAGAAAGCGAGACAGACTCTACAAAGCAAGGAAAGAAAGCGAGACAGACTCTACAAAGCAAGGAAAGAAAGCGAGACACTCTAATAAAACAAGCAAAAACTCAAAAACCAAAGAAAACGAAAAAATCCCCTTAAAAAGCCAGAAATCAAACACCTCAGAGGAAAAAAACAACAAAAAAAAAAACTCGAAAATCCAAAATAACAGAAACAAGAATCTCAAAATAAAGAGAGCAAATTTGATCAGACAAGAATTCTCCTGCCCCTAGAGGCTTCTGACTGGGGCCGAGAATATTTTAGTAATTCCGCGTCTACTATCTCATATCATTTTCTATTGCACTTTCATTAATTGCACTTTTAATTTTGAGAATCGTTTAGTCCCTATCACAAGCATTAGGAAGAGGCGAAATATTTCTTGATTAATTCCACCAAATTTCGATACAATTTTTATGAAAACAAACTATGTTGTTCCACTAATGGACATTTTTTCTTCTGGCGACCATTAAGGACCTAATGCGCATGATGCTAACGAGACCAATTTCTTCCAACTTCCTCAAGTAGAATTGATTTATCTCTATACATAAATGAATGTCTCGTCTGTGACAAATCATAACCAACAATTAAAATTCTCTTCACTGCAGACCACATGAGTAATATGTTAGGGGACTTAAACCTCAACAATTTCAATAACAGCGGCAGAAACGCGGGGATTTCAATACAGGCTGATTGTGCAGAAACTATTTATATTAGACGCACATACACACGCTAGCAAACGGTATGAGAATTACGCCAGCGAATTGAATGTTGTACGGATTTTGCCGCTACCACTTCGGAGCTACTGTACGAACAGAAAGCAAACGGCTACTTATAAACTATTTATCAACATTTAGTTTCTATCTCTCGCTAAACTAAATGTTAAATAGTTTTCCTCCTCCCCCCAAATAACCTGTCTACGACACTTAGGTAGCGTTATGCTAGTTCCCGGGCCCATCTTTTGATTATAGAAGTGCCTTATGTTTGCACAATAAAGTGTTTGTTGAGGGAGTGATAATTATTAATTGGTATTTCGAGACATGTTTTGGCTGATGCAGTTTTGTATTGTGAATAGTGAAGTCATTTTAGTATGATGCCGTAAAAGACATCGCGTTCAAATTTCATATAAAAACCAGAGAAACCGGATGCACCATGGGTTTGACTTGGGCCGGGGGCGGAGGGGTCGATGAATGGGTAAGCACGTGACCTCACATCTGCATCCGATTTACGGGCGTGAGAAAGATTTGTGATATATGCAGTTACATAAACAGTTATCTCAATAATCTCAGGGCAGCCTAGCACACATTGCAGACGAAAATGTAAGGTCCACGAATGAGGCCATGAATCGCATCCCCCCTACCACTTTATTGCAGTAATTTTAGATGGTAGACGCATTAGTGTGTTTCCTCAAGCAAGAAACTAAGTTTTGTTTTACGGCAAATCAACCTCAATAGGTTATTTAATGCCGACAAGATTTTTACGGCTTTTATGGATGTCAGTTATCAGTTATCTCCTGTTAATTCCCCTCTCCAAGTTCTCCACCGCCTTAACCAGGTATTGAACTCACACTTTTGGGGTCCTGTCACTGGATCTAACTAACGCTTGTGTCCACTGTGCCATGCGAGCACGTGGAACTAGAACAGTCTACCCCAGCAAGCGAAATAAAGGATTCAGTCAGATATTCCAACCACCTGAAGATGGCCGGAGCGTACAACGGCCGAAACGTTGTAATAAATATGGCAACAAAGATGAGGACAATAGTCCGAATAATGTAAATAGTGAATTGATATGAGTTGTAGTTTTCTTTTTATATCTCCAGTCCCGATACTTTTTGATCAGACCTCGTATAATTATTCCCGCTTCGGGTTACAGAGGCTATTCATTCTAATTGTTTCATCTGTTGGAAGGATTCGAGTGGCGTGGGTTTTATTTGGTAAATTTCATTGTGATTTTGTAGCGGGTGTCTATAAGGTCTAACAAATGATTGTCTTTGTGAGCAAAACAGTTCATTCATTTGAAGCCTATCGCCGGGTTTACACTCCTCCATGGTCTTTGTGACCAGGGGGCAGAGGTTTCCTGTTTAGGACCGGGTTTCCGGTTTCTTCTAAATTCCAATTCAACTCTACTTCTAACGTCGCTGTATAAACTCTGAAATTTATATTAATGGGTTTTTGGTTCCTTCCACATACTTTTCCTTCTCTTTCATTTCCAGTAGTTCCTTTGCGTCTTAGTGGCATTATCAACTTGCTTGGGGATGGACTGATTAAAAAAAAAATGTCGCGGATACGTTAGATATTTCTGAATGAGATGGATGCTATACCGGACATGTCGTGATTATTTGTCGTTATATATAAGAAAAGCTATTTTCATCTTAAACGAATACTCGATTTGTCAAGATAGAGATCACCGCCCAAATCCCTGAGCTGAAAAGTTGACAACTTACCTGGTCTATCTTGATTACTCGAAGGTCAGGTAAATAAACGGGTTCTTCTGCAATCTTATGTGACAGGTGAGTATCTCGATAAACCATTCCGTTGGTGGGGAAAATATTTACGAAATGCTTTGACAATAAGAGAAAATGCCACGGTGTCGAGTAAACTCGAACGGGTTTTAAGCTTCTGTTTTATCGTCGGTAATTAGCCATAGTTTGCCTGATTAACGATATTCCAGAGTGGGCAAATACCATTCATTTAGGAAAAAGGATGGCATTAGAATTTAGTTGAACTTTCCTCAAAACGGTCGCTTTTAATTGTATTGCAGCACAATCGGCCCCTGTCTGATTGGCTAAGAAACAAAAAGTGTAAATAAAGAAATAAAATATTTCGGGATGACGTGACACTCAGTCGGAAGGTAACGAATTCCGTTCGCGGTTTTATATCGTCAAGCCTTATTCTAGATAAGGAGTAGGGATGGAGATCTCGCTGACCGAAAAGATCTGCTCTGTTAGGCTGTTATGAGAAGAGGTCCTAAGTCTCACTTCGTGGAGCAGAAGTTGATCAGTCGGGGGAAAAACTGAGTAGAAATTAGACGTATTTCAATTTTGATTCTGACACTATGAAGAACATTAAGTTTTTTTTTTTTTTTTCAAAAAAAAGGTAAAATTTGTTTTGAGACGAAAGAAAAGCAATTTATGGAGAAGGTTATGCAAGTAGATATGTCAAAAGTGGTATGCAAAGCTTCATGTTGGGGGACATGGTGTCAACATAAAGATGAAACTAATTTGTACCGGGTAAGTAATATTAGTTGATCTCGCGTGTGGCTTCTACATGTGTGGAGAGTCAAATATTCCACTTGGCCATAATTACATTATTCGTTTTTGGACAATTGTGAAGTAGGTTAAGAGTGCATAAATTTCAACATGGAACTGAAGAAATCTCAGCGTGCGTGTATATATATATATATATATATATATATATATATATATATCCAAAAGGTTTCCCGTCAAAGAATGTATATATGGAGGAGATGACTTTCGATGTCATTTTTGAGACGTGTTATTCCTGTTTTTACTATTCTGACCAGTATTTTCATCCTGATTGTTATACTCACAATGTTTAGTTCTCTGCCTTCTTCAGCTGTCTTTCGATGTACTCTGTAGCCATCTCAAAAATTTGAACTGAATACGAAAGTGTAGGATGACCAAAACATTGTTGGTACAATAATCAAGAGGAGCATGTTAGTACGAATAGCAAAGCGTATAATAATGGAAAAGGCGCTTACAGTATGAGCTCTTCTTAGAGGACGAAACGATTGATTTGAACAAGTACTGTTCCCAATTAAACCACCTGAAGGCAACAATAGACACAAAATAATTTAATAAAAAGCATTCGGAATTAGTTTTCCAGAAATAACGCTAGACCACACGCTTCCTTGGTGACCAGCTAAAAATGGACTCAGATTGGCTGAAAGGTTCATTTATCTTCCATATTCAGATATTTTCCCCGATAAAGAATTATGATGATTCGTGAAAAATGGTACAATTTGCAAAAAGCGATGTCAGCATCGTAATATAGCAACTCCCAATTTCAGTCAGTTATGTGCCATGCGTGATATCCGCTTAGGCGAACATGTATCTTTCGATGCATGACTGACGAGGCAGATTTTTCCCGCAGTAGGTTCCCATTTCTTTCTGCGGTAAACCTGTTGCCATCCAAGGCTATAGAACCCGGTCTGTCCTGCTATTTACTCATAGATGGGGGAGAAGAAGAGGATTCATACCTTTCCTAAGGGTTTTAGCATGTAAGTGAATGTAATGGATTTGACTGGAATTCGAACTCGGCTCTCCGATTCCTCAATCCGAGCCGCTATCCATTACTCCCCCGTTTAATGATTGGATTTAATTCCAGTGAGCTGGTCGCTAATTAATAAGTATCTGACGACTATTTCAGGCATTCTACGCGTATGATGGATTTGTATCAACCAACCTTTACGTACCTTAATCCTTCAGGACGTAGGTGATCATGGCCCTCCACATCTTCCTATCCCTTGTAAGTTTTGTCTTTTTGTCATTTCTCCTAGACTGTTTTGTCATCCACTTGCCCAAGATCATTAAATATGTCACAAGTTGCTTTTCCCTATCCCTCCTGTGAGGATCAGATTTTCCAAGCCCTCCTTCCTCATTACGTGCTCCAAAAATTTCAACTGCCTCTTCCCGATGCTTATAAAGTTCCTTTTTGTTTCCATTCTCTCCAAAACTTCGTTGTTGCGCACATGTTCGGCGCATGGTATCCTAAGCATCCTTCTGTAGAAGGACATTTCTGTTGCTTCAAGTCTCTTCATCATTAGAGAGATTGTCCAGCATTCGCTGCCATACAAGACGACAGATCACGTAACATTTTCAGTGCTCATTTCTTTGTTTCTATCGAAATTTTCCTGTCTCGTAATACTCTGCTTAGCTTTTGGAATGCGTCTTAGGCCATCCTACGGATCTCAGTGTCACACTTTCTGGCCTCTGTTAGAACACTTCTGACATATTTAAATTTCTGTACCTGCTTGATTTTAGTGTTCCTGATCTGTAAATTGCATTTTGGGCTCATCTTTATTCTTTTAGAATTTATAGGTATGTTGAATAACAGTCATTCATCAACGTGGTGCATTTTCAACTAAATAAATTAGTTATTTAACTATTCAGAAGTGTTTTATTCATTTCATGTGTTTTATTCATTTCATGTGTGACAACTTAGTAATTTTAAAATGTGCTGGGGTGTGAAACCGGTAAGTTGTTACGTGAGGAGAGGCTGTCCTTCTACGGAGAAATGTAATCGGCGTCCAAACTCTGGATCGAGTAGTTTATATTCACTTTACACTAATGCCCTTAGGAAAGTCATGAAGTTAATCCCCTAAGCTATAAAATGGATTAAAACATAACAGCTTATATAAGGGATCTTTTATTTACGGCAACATCTCGTTGAAATATCGGTTTCCATATAATCATCATTAAGCAGCTTCGAGCCTGGTCCTTACCTAGGTGGGTGACCAAAGGCTGTAAATTTGGATGTGTAGATGGTGTAATGGCTCGGAATTGTTAATCGGAGAGCCGAGTTCCAATTCCCGTTGGGTTATATTCACTTACGCGCAAAATCCACTGGAATGGTATGAATACACCTCTTCTCCCCCAGCTATGGGTTAATTACTCTTGTATCATTAAAATATTATCTAAAAAGAAAAAAAAAAAATCTTGCAATATAAATATATTTTCTGACATTAAATACTCTGTAAAGGGTTTTTTTTTTTTAGCGGCAATTTTAGCTTCGGGAAGGTAGTCTTTCAAAGGGGTTATTCGGGAAGATCTGGAAAATGACAACAGTCTTGACGTTAGCGTGCGTGCGTTATAACACATCTATAGACGATGCCATGTTTTTCGCGCGCACACGAGACGTAAGAAATAAGCAGGCGATGAATGCAACATTTATACAGAACAAATTCGCAAAATGGCGTCTCACTGCCGAATGGGCAAAACGACAGTTGTCACGCATGCGCACTAAATAGTTTTGTTTTTGGCTTCCATATTATATATATATATATATATATATATATATATATATATATGGAAAGATACTTTGCGGACAGACCTCATATTATAAGCTGTTGACGAGATCAACAAAGCAAATCCTATTCGTAATCAGGGAACAAGGAAGAAACATTCTCTTAATGAAACAATTAAAAAAGATCAACGTTTTCTGTTAGTTAGTTTTTTCTAAAAGTTTTTTGGTAAATACCGAAATGGAGCCGTGTTGCTGTTTATAATATTTTATTTTGCCATAACGCCAGAAGTATAGGGTACCCAGTGAGGATCGAACTCGCTACTGAATACTAATGTTAACTCAATCTCGCTTGCTAACTGAAGTACCCCTAAATGGAACCGTGTTGTCGATAGAGCTACTTTAAGCTCAAGCCGTCTACATGAAAGAAAAAAAAATAGAACAAACTGCTCGTAACCTTGAATGCAAAACCTATTAAGACGCCAGTCCTTTACACTAATGACTGATGGATTTTTTTACGGTTTATCAACCATTTGTGGGGTTATTTAAAGCCAGAACGTTTCTTGAATTGTAAAAATATTTTTTTTGCGAGTGAATTAATTTTTTTGAGAGTGATGTGGTTTTTTCAGATACAAGTCCTATTTAACCCATAGCTGGGGGAGGAGTTGCTGGATTCAAACCTTTCCTAAGAATATTTGGCCGTGAGTGAATGTAACTAAGCCGACTAGAATTCGAACTTTACTCTCTGGTTTCTCATTCCGAGCCGGTAGCCATTGCCCCACCTACACATCTTCGCTCTACCGAAATTGCATAAATTATCTTATTGCTGCAAGGTGCACCAATATTTTAAACTCGTTTGAAAATCATGTTCAGACCTGTGCAGACCGGATCCGGTGCAGTTTTGTGTCAGATGTCCCGTGGCAGTGAGAACAAAAATGTAATTCAATATTGAAAGGTTTTCTTTTTCCCTTTTTTTTTAAAAAAAAAAAAAAAAAAGAAAAAAAAAAAAAAAAAAAAGAAGAGTTTTAAGCTTTTAATAATGTAGTTCATAATTACAGGGTCGTTTACAAGCTACGTGTTTTGTTAAAACTGAAACCTCTTTTAAAAACACAAGCTGCAGTAAAATTAATTGGTTGGGAATTGGGGAACATTTACAGAAACTATGTCATCGGTTGGTCTCGAGAAAGCTTGGATCTGCGTCCAAAGAGTTACGCCTCAGCTACTGATCGCGATGCAGCATTTGTCATGGCTGTACAGGCCCACACGGGAATGACAGTCTCGACTTTAAAGAATGCATGTCGATTCACTCCGCCGATATCGCCTTTGTTTTTTTTTTTTTCCTTCTTCCATCGAGCATGGTTCTCCCTGATGGCAAACCTTCGTTTCTCCTCTTCTCGCTTCAGTCGTCGGTGTAAAACGTGTCTCCAGCGTGAGCGATTGTTGGCAATGTCTTCCTATATCTCGGTGTCTATGTCCATCATCTTCACCTCCTTTTTGCAGATGTCCTTGAAGCGAAGGCGTGCTCTCCCTCGTGCCATCTTGCCGCTGGCCAATTCCCCGGACAGAAATACTGCCATCCGGCATATATGCCCAAGCCAGCAGTGCAACTGCTGGGTAACTGGGCACGGGCGAGAAATAACAACCACATACACAGGAAGAGAACGAACGGTACGTAAAATGCAAACAAAATCCAAAATTTTGATCTAACAACAGTCATGATTTTAAATAACTAGACTCGAGATTTATTGCCCGAAAATACAGCAGTTGTGGCTTATCAGATCTAGACTCTTAGTTAATGAATTGATTTGTTTTTTTTTTACGGTTTATCAACCTTTTATAGGTTATTTAAAGCCGAAACATTTTAGGATTGTAAGAATTTTTCCCTCGAGTGGATGCTGTATTAAGAATTTCTTGTAGATAATAACGATTTTCATATACAAGTCTATTTTAACCCATAGTTGGGTGGGGGAGAGAAGGTGGTTTCATGACTTTCCCCAAGGGGATTTGGGCGTAAGTGAATGTAACGAACCCGACTGGAATTCGAACTCTGAACGCACCATCCAAGCACACAAACAGCACCTGGTATTCCCAAGCGGTCACCCATCTAGGTACTGACCATGCTCGACGTTGCTTAACTTCGGTGATCGTACGAAAACCGGGGTTTCAACGTGATATGGCCATAAGCCTAACTCATTTGGATGTCATGCATGGCGTCCAACTCCTTGATGTCTATTTTCCTGAAAAGGGTTAATTTTACTATTACGTTCTTATACGAGATGCTGTCTTTATACGAGATGATGCTGAAACGATCTACGATCACCAGGCAAAAAACTTAAGATTGAGGAATCGCAGAGCAGAGTTCGAATTCAAATATACCCCCTTGAGAAAGGTATGAATCCATATATGGCCAAGAGAATAGACTGGGTTCTTTAGCTTCGGGTGTCAACCGCTCTAGGAGAATGAAAACTGAATTCAAACCAGCCTGAAAAGAGTTGGGCACCGTCAGGCTATGTTGCCCAAGATACACCACTTCTACTGCGGCAGCAGTACATGGGAGTGCCCCCCCTACGACTCGTGATCATTACTACACTCTTTCCTCAGTGGGAGACAGACGTCAGTGAGGCGATCCATTTTAAGAAATCAGAGATGACTAACGCAAGGTTAAATGATTCCAGTAGTGTAGGAATTCAGGAATTCCTTACCAACATTTTCTGGAGTTCGATTTTTTTTTTTTGGGGGGATTTGAACAGACCATAAGAACATTCGTCAGAAACCTGGCTATATATATATATATATATATATATATATATATATATATATATATAGAGAGAGAGAGAGAGAGAGAGAGAAAAAAAATTTGATTTATCTCTTAAGAAAAGAGTTTAGATTTTCCCCGGAATGACAAACACTTACATTTTGAATTGCTTCCAAGATTAGAGTAGCAATGTTGGAAATTCCTTAAATGGCAAATTGTGGAAATATTTGGAAAAGAGGGAGAAATACAGCTTACCGTATCGAAAGGTACAAATGGTCTGTTTCATAATCTCTGTACATTAAATAAGTGCCGATTGAACTGTCTTTCAATGCCATTTCCGCTTCGATCTTGCCAAACAGAATTGGGTTTACCCTTCAAAAGAAAGATATTGAAAAATATTCAGATGAAGGAACAAAAAAATACACTGAATGAATATAATTTAAAAAATATTACAGAAAAAAAAAACAAAAAAAATAAAACAAATATGTAATGAAATTGGTTCTAGCACAAGGTCATGAATATCGAGCAACTAGTGAGGATGGCAATAAACTCTAATAATGATAAGGGAGAGCATTTGCTGTTTAATTCTGCTATTCCTTCAGTGAATACCCAAGCCAAATTCGAAGCAACAGGAGCCCAAAACATGACACCAGATTGAAATGTGTTCTGATACATTTGGGAATGTTTCCTTGTGGCGTAAATCCTATCATTTTGGCAGTTAACCACGACCTCCACAGTGAAAAAAATTATCGTCTGACCAAACGAAAACTGTCTGCAGCACGCTACGTCTCCAACATTTTTCTTTCTGCTAAATTGTTTTTGCTTGGAGGCACTCAAGAATAGCTGTCGTCGTTAAATTTTGTATAACTATAGCCCTTAAACCTTCTTGACGATTTATCCGAAATAATTAAATCTTTCACCATTTTCCTCATTTTATTTTTTTTTTTTTTTTTTTATTATTGAATTTCTTTTCACCCTCTTCAGGTTTTAATCTGAAGAATTCTTCTTTGAATTGTATTTGCGTGGTTGCGCCTCCTGGAACTTTTTGCACACATTCAACTATTTTATCGCATCCTGGGTATGACGATAAACTACGTCCAGCATCAAGGCCTCTGATCAGGAGGTTTTGAGGAGCGTGGAACCACCTCTTAATTGCTGGGGTTCCCAGGTCCACCCTAACCTGGGGTAGTAGCACCTGTTAGGGTCCCAGCTATGGGCAAATAGTAACACTCAGATTACATCCGCATCCTGGGTAAGGCGATAAACTACCGTCCAACAGCAAGGCCTCTGATAATACGTATTTGAAAAAATATTACCAGCTATACATTTTTGAGGAAAAAAAATATTAACAGAAATGGATTTTTGACAAAACAAAAATATTACCAGGAAAAAAAAAAGTTGTCGGCATTAAATGACCCATTGAGGTTGTTTTGCCGTAAACTATTTTATCATTTCACAATTTTCCATACGACAATTTAATCACGTTGTGTTTTGGCCGCCATTTTTAATTAAACTCTAAACAAAATAATGTTCGGAAACCTTATGCAAAATTTGAAACTATTTTTACGAATAGGTATATAAATTGGTCAGCAGCGAAAAGTCCGATAGAAGAAAGTTCAAGAATGGACTTATTTTTTCTTTATTTCACTTCCACCGACATCCTTACCACGGTGCGGCAGATATTTATCCATTATTTATTTTATCATAAAATGTTTACTTAACGGAAGTTTACAAAAGGATTGTTATATTTAGTGACAATATTTGCCATGTATTTATAATTCAAAATGGCCGCCTTTTGTTTTCACTATAACCCTTAATATCTTTTCAACTGAAGTGCATGACTTATTCACCATCTCTTCACTCAAGTTCTACCTCGAAGTCCTAAGAATTTCTTCGAGGTCTGACACACTTGAGTATGAGACGCAAGAAACAATATTCTCCAATATGAGCCATATCCCAGAGTTCATGATACAAATTCCTGGAAAGGTTTTGTCTCCTTTGGATTTTTTTACTCGTAAATTAAAAAAAAAGAAAAAGAAAAGAGTTCTACAAATATTAAACTGTTTTATTACCTCATAATTATTCATACCAGCCATTTTCAATGCGACAATTTAATCACGTTGTGTTTTAGCCGCCATTTTTAATTAAAGTAAACAATAAAACAAAATAATGTTAGTACGCCTTATGCAAAATTTGAAACTATTTTTACGAATAGCTAGGTTCCAATTTAAATTTACATGTGTCAATATTTATACTACACATAATAATAATAAACGATATTAATATTAAATGATATATTAAATATAAATAATAATTAATAATATTAAATATAAATAAAGCTTTTTACCTATTTGTGTACTTATATATATATATATATATATAGCGTACATATATATATATATATATATATATATATATATATATATATATATATATATATATATATATATGGAAGACACTGAGGAAGTAGTTCACTATTCAGTAGTCCTGAACTATAATCCTCCCTCCTACATTCAACGGTCTTATTTTGTTATTTATTAAGCTTAGTAAAGTATTGGCGGTAGGTCACAGGTTTCATACCCTTGACCCGATGAGTATAGAACACGCCTCTCAAGGATAATGATCAGTAAGCAGACCAGAGAGTTTGAAGTTCGCTAACCGTGAATACGAATTTGCGCACTAGACTTTTTAAAGGGTGGGAGTCGAGTGTTTCTTTTACCCAATCCCACTTGGCCATCGGTAAGACCAGGTTTCACAATCATGGCGCACATACTTTTTTTTTTTTTAAGCGTTTCACCTCAAGCAAGGCGGGAAGCCACTAGGACGCAAGGGGTTACAGAAAATTTAGAGCAAGATCAGATAGGAGTGATAGAAGAAAGGATGAGGAGAAGGGTAGTGGATAGATCAAGGCAACTGGAGATGTTGATTGACATTACATTTGAATAGCTGGAGAGGAGATTATAGCTCTCAGGGAAACTGGAATAGGGAAGGGAGTTCCACAAGCGAGAGGTGCGAGACATGAAGCTATTGGAGTAGAAGAGACGGCTACATTTAGGAGTTTCGACAGTGAAAGGGTGAGAGCGGGATGCCAGCCTCGTAGGGCGCTTGAACTCATGAAGTCTGGGAACCAGCGAATGCAGCTCCTCGGAGCAATTGCCATGAAAGTATTTGTAAAACAGAGAGGTCGTTACAAAACAATTATATTTTAAGGCCTTTCCTAGATATTGTCCAGTGTTTTTTTTTTTTTTGTTTTGATTTTCAGTTGGTGATGTTTAATTTAAAAGCATTACAAATGATTAACAACAACCACCTGGAAAGAATTAAAATCTTAAAATAGAAACATTAAATTTCGAGAAGCCTTCTTCGATAAAGCAGGTAACAAAATTTTATTTAAAAAATACTACAACCAATAAAGTATAGCGATATTTAACAAAAGAACTTTTATTTTCGAATTTCCATTCCACTGTCTGAAAAAAACAAAACGAAAGGAAAAGAATGAAAATCGATTTAATTAAGAAGTCGAAAATAAAAGGATTCAAAAGTATTTCCCTTAGTTTTTATGAAAAGAAAAAAAAAAGAAAACAACTGCTTTACACCTGAAAACATTTTAACTTAAGAATCAGCAAGTGAACACACATTAGAATAGAACATCACATTTTCACACGGTTGGCGATTGTGATGCGAAATACAAGCGAGAAAAAAAAGTTAAACTATTCCAACATGGTGGCATGTTATTTGCAAGTGGCGGGAAACAGATCTCGTTCTAAAATAGCTTAAAAAATAAAAGCAGGTCATTTGAATTCATTATTCTGAACGCTGTACGCAAACAGTGCATTTCAAATCGGCGTCAATTACAAGCCTACATCGGTTTCTTTCATCGATACCTACATTACACGCACACACACACACACACACACACACAGTGTAATGGTTAACAAGTTCATTTCAAAGACGATTACTACTCTAGGGAGTTCAGCTATCACTAATAATCCCACAGCTACAACATTGTTGCTGGATCTATCAGTAGGGCCTACCGTAGGGCAGAGGTTAGAAAACCCATCTCGCAGTCCAATTAGTGAATTTGATCCTCACCGGGTTACTTACTATCTTTTGCTAGGCAATTTGACGTTTCACGGTATAGCAAGATTTACCAAGCGAGTTCGACCTTTGCAATTTAATAAAATTGTCAATCGCAAATAAATTCAAGAAAACAGAGTTCGTTAGTCCCCCCATGTCTAAATAGACGTTTGTAACTTTAAATGCGGTATTCTTTCAAGGCGATCATGGCTCTCCATAGTTTCCTTTCTATTAGTTTAATTTCCATCACTTTTGGGGTATGATACTGGAATGCTTTCCCATTTTCTTCTTTACGGTTTAGAAAGAAGATATTTTGCTGTCAGATTTTTACCACAATGCTAGAGAGGCTAC